CAGAGTTTGACTCAGGCGACAGATATATGCTTTAGCATAGAAAAAATATCCGCATATTTTTTGGTTTGTCCACTCTCAGTATATAACGGCACCCAGCTTCATCGAGTATGAGCATGCACACTGAACGTAGTAATATACTAGATTATAGAACGGTTTGTTAACAAAGAAAAAAAATTGTTTATAAACAAAATATTCCAGAGTTGTACGGCGCAATGTATTTAAACGGCAGCAATGCTGTCCTATGTTAAGGTTTTGCACTGTATAGTTCTGGTAGATTTTGTTTATAAACAATTTTTTTCTTCGTAAACAAACCGCCCTATACTACCACGTTCAGTGTGCATGCTGATACTCGATGAAGCTGGGTGCCGTTATATACTGAGAGTGGACAAACCAAAAAATATGCGGATATTTTTTCTATGCTAAAGCATATATCTGTCGCCTGAGTCAAACTCTGTTCCCGACTTCAGCCTAAATGCATCTGGAAGGCATAATAATTTATTTATAATGGAAACTGATTAAGTTATGTCAATGTATTACGAAGATTAACATCAATTGTTCATATCTTTCGGTCTCGACATGAATTATTAATTCAAAACTACCAACTTGTTTAGACTAGACGTAAAACTTCTCTTCAATTTATCACCTCTTTGATAGATTGAACGACGACTTTTGCAGTCATTGTGGCCGTCATCACATTGTTCAACGCTTCTACTGGCCTTTCCTTTTTCGCACGTTTAAGTTAGGCGTTTTTTGGACCGTTGACAATCGGCTTTCATTAGACATTTTCATGTTTGGTTATTTGCTTATTCATAAATTGGGTTATTCTTTTGTCGAAAACCAATATTTATGTCAAATCAAACTATACCCCAAATTGTATAAAAATAAAAAAATCAGGTTTTTCATGACTCTTGGAGTCATTTTCCTGCAAAAACAAATATTCTGACAGTTTTTTTTGCGGTGTTAATATAAAAATTAATACACTAAATCACTTCCAAAGAAAAACAAACGCAAACAAATATAAATTGAGATACCTTTGTCCATAATCACATCGGCCGGAAGCGAGTCTTTAATGATTTTAGTAATGTTTGAATTGGGTAAATTTAGATCTTGAATGCGTTCTACCATTTTTTCTTTCGAAAATAAAGATGAACAGAAATTAGGAAAAAGTTTAGATTCTTTCTGGATTGGTTATACGAAATAAGTTGTTAGTTTGTTGTAAACGCCAAAACAGTTGTGACACATGTCACAGTTTGTGTTCCTAGTTTAGCAGGGTTGTCCAAACAAACAAATTTCAAAACATTGTATACGTCAAAAACAAAAAATTCTCGAAAAACAGTGTAATGAAACAAATGAAACAAACGAAACAAAGGTTATGAAAATCATACATTTCTTTTAAAAGGCGATCACTGCGAATATTTCAAATATCAAATATGTTAAACAACATTTTATATATATAAAATATAAATATATACATATATATATCGAAACTGTTGACTATCGTATATTACAAATAGTAGGAATATCTTGAAGTACACTTGTGTTTGTGTTTTGATGCTATGGTGTGGTGGGAAAGAAGAGCAACAAGAAACTAATACATTAAAGTTAGACCGCGTTCTCGATATCATAGTAATATTTTTTGTGAACACTTTTGAAACTGTGTGTAGCAAAATTTATTTTTTTTTCGTATAAATTTTATGCACCAAAGGTGAAAGGCTAAATCATAAACTGAGTTTTGCTATCATTGATATTTTTTTGTGAGGTTTCCAAAGTTTTTCGCTTTTAATAATATGTAGGATGTAATTAAAGCAAGCGTTTGATCTCGTTTAAAAGTAGATGAAAAAAATTATAATAATTTTAGTTGTTGGGAAAAGTGTTGCCTATAAATAGGAATTAATCAACACCTCTTTAAAGCAAAGATAAACAAAGAGAGTTTTTCAGGCGAAAAAAAATGGCCAACGCTAGCATTTACGAAGTCGATGAAAAAGGTACTTGTCCATGTTTTACGTTTATGAAAGTTATACGTTTTTTCTTCATAACTTACTTTCACGAAATGATTAACAACAAAACTCTCATAATACAATTATATATATATATATATATAATATACATAACATATATGTATATATGTATATATATTACATCTTTTTATTCATTTTCTAAAACTCTATTCTGCTTGGTGCTGCGCTGTAACCTTGAATGAATTTTGACAGTAGGTCAACAACATACAGCAGATGACAAATCAAACACGAATGGTAAATATTTGCGTTCATTGCATTTAGAATGGTCCAATGATTTTCAATCATCAATTTCAGAATTCGAGATGATGGAATGTCCCGTATGTTTGCAACTTTGTGTACATCCATCCAAGTTGCCATGTGGACACATCTTTTGTTTTTTATGCGTTAAGGTACAGATTTTATACCTTGTTTTATACACTCGAAAATAAATCGTTCAGTTTTAAGTGAGTGGAATCTAAGTGCTTTTTAAACAATTTAGGGTTTGAAAAACCGTCGATGTGCGATGTGCCGCGCCGAATTTTCTAGCGAATTTCTAGACCATCCACAGTTATTGTTGCCCATCAGCACGACGCCGACTTTAACAAGTAGCTCTGAACAAAATAAGTATCAATGGTTTTACAAGGGGCATAACGGTTGGTAGTATTGTTCTTATTCTATTTTAATGGGATACAAAATGAAAAAAATACAATATTTTTGTGATTTCTTCAGGTTGGTGGCAATACGACGAGCGAACATGCCAAGAAATCGAAGATGCATATAAAAAGGCACAAAAACAATGTACGATTTTGGTCGCTGGAAACTTGTACATTGTGGATTTCGATCAAATGCTACAAAAACGCCAGACTGACCCATCCCGAAAACGACAAGTAAAAAGTATGACATTATATATACAATGTTGAACAAACATTGTTTTACAATGGTAATTTACTAATTACTAATTTTCTTCATAAATAATGTTAACATTTAATAAAGGAGACTTGGCAACAATTCCAATAAAAGGTGTAGCTGGGTTGCGTCTTTGGTATGATATGAGAGAGATAAGACTATTCGTCAATTTTACAGAACTTTAACCAATTGTTATATATTTATTTAGGAACACTGGAGATCCAAATCTAAACGTTAATAGTTCCACTGAAAATGTAAACAGCAATAGTAATTTAGTCGCAACGATTGCAGCTACGGAGGCAGCAATTCGAATTGCAAGTGATATTATCGACTCAACACTGGCACATGTAGACGATCACACAGCAGATCATCAAAATGACAATTCTGGGCGCTCTCTGCCTTTAGGTTTATAATATTTCTAGAAAATTCCTTTATTAAATTCCTCCGTTAAAATATAACCTTTTCTACCAATGAACAGATTCCGTTGTGGTGACCAGTGGTGGTGCACCAAATGAACAAACAAGTGAATATAACATAGCAAACAGTGAAAGCAGTAGTAGCAGTAGCATTAACAACACTAGTCGTGATATGCTTGATGAAATTGAGGAAACCTTCAACATAACCAATCCATCATCGATTAACACTTCATTCAGGCCAACGTCTGATTTCTTCTCTTCGACTCTGAATGAGTTTCGTAATTTAACACTTAATAATATTGCTGACGATTCATCTGATGACAATGGTGACGATTACGACGATGATGATGACGACGACGATGACGATGATACGGCTCACTTTGAGGACAACAGACATTTCGTCGAAAGTCAAAGTCTACAGAACTGATTATATATTTGAACTGCAAATGCACTTACTACCATACTTTGAACATGTTCACACACATTTTATTTCATAGATTTGGCAGATTAATAAAAAAATGTCAGTTACCCATCTAACAATTATAAACCATGCATTATTTTAGTGGGCAGCTCTTGCCCATTTGGGCAGTTCTAAATCCCAAATGGGCAGCTCAAAACTCAAAAATGGGCAGTGTTTTACTTAAATTTTCTTGAAAATGGGCAGCTCTAAGCAGCTCAAAACTCAAAAATGGGCAGTGTTTTACTTAAATTTTCTTGAAAATGGGCAGCTCTAAAAATTTGTTAAAATAATGCATGTTATAAACCCAAATGCATCCGATTCCAGGCACATATCCAAGGTTGAATACGGAGATAGATTTAACTGTAGAAGTAACCGTCATAGTGATCCAATTGTGCATGGAATGAATGGAGAAAAAATAGCATAAAATTAGCATCAATACAATCAATACATTCAATACATTCAATACTCTTATTTCAATTGAAAAATAAATCATTTACTTACATACATGGGTACTTCTAGCCTCCTTTAGTTAAGTATGTACGCCTACTATACCACAAAAATCAGGCATAGGGGAAATAACATTACTGTTATGTTTGAATTTTTAAATTATTCAATGTGAATGGCGTGAACGACGATGCATGATGCTTGTTATTTAACAGCAGCTCGCTGGTTGGATGGCCTCTGCAATGTTTCGGGTAACGTATACCCAAACAAGTCACAGTGTCCTTGAAAATCATACAAGAAAACAATGAATATATGTAAATAAAGAACTACACCTCACATGCAATTCAATTATTATGAGCATTTACCTTTGATCAGGATACATTTTGAAGCGGCTATGTCACGGTGCCATGTCGTCTTGTGTACTCGTGGCCCAACAACTTCCATCTCACCGGCTGAATTGACGTTCACGTATTCCAAAATTCCACTAGACCCATTTACTTGCATATTTTGTGGTAGATCGCTACATTTGGGAGTAAATCTGGATTTAGTTGATCTGGATGTAGGACATCATTGCCAACTGCTGGATTTCCGTTGCCCTCTTCCGCTTCTTTCTCGAGCAAAAACACTTTCAACTTTTCTTCCCTCATCTTTCGTTTGTTGACCTTGCGACACGTCTTCCAAATCTGCGTTCGCATTTCTTGTGCGCGGCATAACTCAAACATTTGACAAGATAATTAAGATCCGAAAACGGCAAAAGTTTTGGCATGTTGAGGCAAAGCCTCGGATTGATTTTGATTCCATTCTGATATTCTCATGTCGCACCATGAGCCTCAGACTGATGACCCTAAAAATGATATTTTTGTTTGAACAAACCGATAATTGACCAATAAATAAACCACTCAGAACTGCTTATTACTCATATCTGTGAATGGAACATTGTAAATGGGCACTATTCCTATCGACTGAAAGTTTCAGATCTCAAAAACTCAAAAATGACTGATATAGCTTTTAGGTACTAGTTTTCTTTTATTTTTTGAGAGTCATGAAACGTTTAAATCTACAGATTTCCCGGCATTAATATTCTAATAATTATTAACATTAAAATATCGTTATTTTCGCGATATCGTTAATAACATAAAATATTATTAACGTAATGTTAATGTTAATAACAAATAATAACATTAATATTAACGTAAGTGTTATTAACGTTATATTAAAATATAAAAAAAAAAGTTTCATACAAAAAACATGTCGATTTTTTCCAGACGCCATTTTTTCAACATTTTTGCTAGACCTTTTGCTTAGTCATTTATTAACCGTTTGTCTGTAATAAGTCGAAAGTTACAAATGCTGTAATGTGGGGTCATATGGACCCCAACAAAAAATCGATAAAAATGGAACAAAAATAATTTTTTTCTTAAAAATATTGTTTTGATCCAATAATTCAAAGCATTCTTCATCTTTTAAGCCTATTTTTGTCAATATTGACCCAAAAATTACTTAGATATGATGATTTTAAAAACATCGTACTAGTCCGCCTTTTACGTTATTTTGCTTCATTTTCAAAAAATCTATGAATATTTGTGAAAAAAGTTCATGTTTTTTGAAAGGGCGTATCAAAAGGAATAAAATAAGTATAATATCGAGTTGATGTGAGCTATACATGGAAAAATTTGAACCAATAAGATGTAATAATTCGATGAAAACTGGAATTTCATCAATTTAGGTGCCATTTTGAAGTGATCAAAACAATGAAACTACTTGTCGTATCTGAACAAAATATGGCTAAAAATGAAGATAAAACTTCAAATTTTAAAAATATTCTTGATTTAATGAGATAAAATAAGATTTTAGCAATAATATGGGCACTTTAATTTGGGGTCCATATGACAGCATTTGTAAGTTTTCTCTTCAAGTCAGGATATCTCGGGTTTTTATGGACCGATTTTGACAAATAAGTGCTCAAAATGCGTGTTTCTACTAGATTGAAGATGTCAATAAATTATAACATCATACAACTTGAAATTAAAAAGTTATAGCGAATTTAGAGTGTCTGGGGTCATATAGACCCCACATTACAGACAAACGGTTAACACTAACACTAAAGTAATAACATTTTTTGTTATTAATATTTTAATATCATTAAATTAATGCGATATCGAAATATTAATACGATATCGAAAAAAGTCAATCTGTATTTGAATCAATCAACCAATGGTTGAAATTGTTTATATTCGAATGTCTGAAGATAATTAACTCATAAAATAAACAATTTAACAAAGATAAACTTATAAAACGCACTGAAAATGTGGCTGCGGCGATTCGCCCCACATATTTCTGATTGCCACATCTAAGGGCTATATCTGAGAGTCAGTCGGTCATATCTAAAAATGTTCTTCTATAAAAGTTGGGTAAAAAGGCTAGCTTTAAAATGATACTTAACTTTCCAGAATTAATTGCATTTTTCTGGAGTTTTGATTTTTGGGAAAAAGGGCGATTCGCCCCACCTAATATATTCAGCCAGAGCTTGGCGATGTTAAATAAAATAAATAAAACCTCATCAAAAAGTCAGATTCGAAATCTCAATCAGATTACCTGGAATTTTTCAGATATCTCAGATGTGTCTGATTTTTTGAAGATTCGTCTAAATCTAACGCCCAGATACGGATACAATTTGAATCTGATCTAGATATAGATTTTAATACTCTCTTAAATCTGTATCTGATCTAGATACATTTTTAGGAATGTGAATGCAAAGGTGTACAACGCTTTATTTTTTATTTTATTTTATTAAACACCGCCAAGCTCTGGCTGAATATAATGTGGGTTTTGTTAGAGGTTTGGCCGGAAAAGAGTGCAAGACTATTACAATTTTTATAAATAATGAACAATGGTAGCAGTAACTTTCGATAACTTTCAGTTCTCACCTCGTTAAAAACCTGGCTCTTTTCGTAAATTATGAGGTAACCACAATAGTAGGAACATGAAAACATTTTCGTTTGACACAAATCGAAATTCTTGTAAGATCACAGCCGCCGACAGCAGGCGCAAGTGACGAAAGCACCTCTGTGCTGAAAGTCGAACTCGCCGATATATACACGCAATTTCGAACTTTTTTTTCTAAGAGGCCAACTGGCATGAATGAAGTATCATCAGAAAGCCCTTGGATCATAGGCCCAGAAAATGCATTCAAACTTGGGAATCGACCAACCGTCTCCATAGATAAGGCCACTTAAAAATTTGGAGCAATTCTCAGCTTTTGCCATTTACCGGGGGCTGACGCGGCGCAGTCATCTCAAAACATGGTTTTTCTGAAGCTTCTCGTCAAGACCTTTCTTTGAAATCGGACCATCGGTTCATGAGTTATGGCCATTTGAAAATTTTCTTTGCCGTCTCCACCAATTATTCTGAGATAATAGTTTTGTCTGTGTGTCCGTCCCTCCGTCCGTCCGTACTTTTTGTCCGATCTTTTTCAAACTTTCAGGTATTGAACTATATCAAAAACTAAGACTTTTTTGTTCCGCCACTTTTTGATTTGGCCGCCATCATACCCCAAATATCAAACTGATTTTTGTTTGTAACTTTGCTAGAAATGGTTCTTGACTAATCTGTCAAACATATACCAATACATTGCGCCTGAAAGGCACATAGATGACGCTGGCAGTCAGGTTTCTCTCAATATAAAAGATATGGCCGCCATCTTGGCCTTGGCCGGCCTTTGAAAATTCAAAAAATGGCCTTCTTTCCAATGGCTATTGTGCCTAACCCTGTCAACCGATTTCAGACTTTTAGGTATCGTTGGAAAGGTCTCAAGGCCAGCTATAAAATGGCAAAGCTCAATACACACCACTTTGTGTTTGTTTAGTGTTATTTAGTTTTGTTTGAAAAAAAAATTTCGGGTACAAAACAACTGATATCAAATAAAAAAACTTCTTTCGAAGTAATTCCTCGTGACGAAAGCGAACACAAAACAGCTGATATCAATTTTAAAAAATCACTTCGGAGCTATTTGGATTTGCTTTTTTTGCATTCTTCCAACTAATTTCAGAATCGCTCCGTATTGATTTTTTAAAATTGATATCAGCTGTTTTCTGTTCGCTTTCGTCACGAGGGATTACTTCGAAGAAGTTTTTTTATTTGATGTTTGTTTACAGTTCGGTTGACACAGAGTAGTAGTTGGAATGGATGTCATTTCAAATGTTTGAAGCTGGGAAGCGTTCAGAAAACAGGTATTTCAAACAAAGAATATTTTCATACAGTTTACACTGAAATTTTATTCTATTTTAACGGGAAAAAGCCTAAAAACGTTACATATTTTAACGTTAAAAATGACCAAATTGCGTTACATGTTTCTCTTGCTTATCTCCATCGAAAAATGATTTTATCCGTGTACCCCGAGCCGATAATTCTATTGGCTCTAACGTCCAATCTTCTTCCGGCTTATAGTTGATTCCAATAAAATAAAGTCCATAAGCTGGAGCAGTTTCGATTTGTTTTTGACGAAATAAATGATCCCAAGTGTGGAATGACGGTATGGTTAATAGTTCATAAATATCACGTTCAGTGATACGACCTTGGGCAAGAGCACATAAGGCGCCAACAATGCGTCGAATCTAGCATTGAGCAAATTTCAATATCATTACAAATATATATTGCATTTGTTTTTTTTTTGTAAATTACTTGTCGATAAACATATGAATTGGCCGTAAATGTGATGTCATAAAATTGAAAATAGTTGTCGCAAGTAGAAGAAATCACACAGGGCATGGATTGTTCTATTTTAATCGATTGAATTTTCCGTTGAGAATAACAAGCCTCTTTCTATGGATAAGGAGATTAAACATATATATTTGGGTTGACTTTGGTATGTGTATACATACTGTATATATATATATGCTTACGGTTTTTTCTTCTTTTGAGTACTGCATAAAACTGCGAAAATCATGTTTGCCAACGAACATTTCTGCCACTATTTTAAATTTATTCATATCGCAGTCCCTAAAAATCGACAGATCTTAAATATTCGAATTACAATAGATCGTGTAAATTGTAATTGAAATATGATTACTATTGAATGCTCACTCGACGACAAAACATCGATCAATCTCTTCAATGGGTGGTTCTTTTGGTTTGCCTCTCCATTGGACCGCTAGGCGATACAAATATGTACGATTTTCAACATTCCGATAAGCTTCAAAGCTATTTTCATCCACCAAATTTATGGCATTTATGCGGACTGCAGCTTTTTGCCACTTGAGATTGTCATTCAAAGCAGCAATTATTTCATATTTCTCCTCCTCGCCATACAACTGCTCGCGATCCACATCAATGTGGAATGTTGAACTCAACGCATGCACACGAGCATCCGTTCTACTGGAGCAGCACACCGTACAACGTTTCTTGAAAAAACATCTAAAGGCCTTTTTTATTACTATTCAATTGTGTTCAAAAAACCATCATAATTGAGAGAAATATAAAATATTTGTGTTGATGATAATAAAAATAAGAAAACAGAAGTGTGAAATGCAAAATGAAATTTGTTTGTTGAAGACGTCACATGAATCGTTGCTTAGAAATGAAAAAATGGGAATCATTCTCGTGAAAAACACCAAAAACCACATTCAAAATTCCCATTTTTTATGATGCGTTTTCATCAAAGCGACGATTCATGTTGCGTTTAAAAAAAAAAATAAATTTCATGTTGTACTTCAGTTCAAACACTTCTGTATTGCCATTTTCATTCTCAGCAACACAATTCGGTTTTAGTTTTATATATGGAATGAATTGAAATACTTCACAGCATTTTCTAAAACTCCTTGGATGGTTCGCAGGTCTCGGTATCTATAATAAGGCTGAATGAATGTTACGCCCCTAGGAATGAAAATATAAAAAAATATTTTTGAGGGAAAATTTCAAAATTTATATATATATTTATATACCTAAAAGCTGTTCCTATATACGAAACATTCAACAAATAACGAACCATTTTTTTTTCCAAAACTCAATATTAGTTATAATGGAAAATAATGCATGAGTTTGAAAGCAAACGTTTGACATTTGAATACGTCAAAAGCATGCGGTCGACATTTTTGACATTTGTTCAGTTTCGTTGATGTTTGAATGCACATGGTTTATTTGATATTTCATATTGGGGAATCAACATATTCATTCTAGAGACCTTTACAATGAAAGTGAATAATTTGAAGAAAAGAAAATCTGAAAAGAAAACTGGTTTAACGCCGACCATCTCAAAAAATCAAACCAGTGCAAATCCGCAGTGGAAAAAAGTCAAATTGAGCGGTAATTTGCTATCGATGGATGATGGTGGTGCGGGGCTTGAGGGTTTGCTTGGTTTGGAAATTTTGGAGAATTACGGTGACACCATAACAGTAACAAAAGGAAAGCAGGTCAGAAGAAAAAAGACATCATCTGTTAAAAAGGAAAACAATGATGACAGTGATGACGACCAGCCGCGTTGCAGCAAAAATGAACTGAAAAAGAAAAAACGAAAGCTAAAAGAGTCTAAGGAAAAAAAAAAGCTTAAAGAAAGTAGTGCAATCGTACACCATCCACCGGGGAGATTTGTGCGTCCCATTACTAATTGTAATGATGCTGGCGATGATTCAATAAATACGATTGAAAGTAGTAACCACTCAATTGAACGGAAAGACGATCTAAAAAATTCAAATAATCAGAAACAATACCACGATAGATCGAACCAAACTGTGTTGACAACAGATGATTTAATTGTAAGTATACGTATCTAACAATTATCAACCCAAATACATCCGATTCCAGGCACATTTCCAAGGTTGAATACGGGGATAGATTTAACCGTAGAAGTAACCGTCATAGTGATCCAATTGTGCATGGAATGAATGGATAAAAATAGCATAAAATTAGCATCAATACATTCAATACTCTTATTTCAATTGGAAAACAAATCATTTACTTACATACATGGGTACTTCTGGCCTCCCTAGTTAAGTATGTACGCCTATTATACCACAACAATCAGGCATAATGTTATATTTTAATTTTTAAATTATTCAATGTAAATGGCGTGAAATACATGATGCTGGTTAGTTGTTGACAACAGCTCGCTGGTTGGATGGCCACTACAATGTTTCGGGTAATGTGTACCCAAACAAGTCACAGTGTCCTTGAAAATCATACAAGAAAACAATGAATGATATGTAAACAAAGCACTGCACCTCACATCACATGCAATTCATTCAATATATTATGAGCACTTACCTTTGATCAGGATACATTTTGCAGCGGCTATGTCACGATGCCATTTCGTCTTGTGTACTCGTGGCTCGACAAATTCCATCTCACCGGCTGAATTGAATTTCACGTATTCCAAATTTCCAAGCCCATTTACTTTCCATGTTTTGCAGCTTCTCTTGCCTCATCTTTCGTTTGTTGACCTTGCACACGATCATTGATGGAAGCATTGCACCTTCAACCGGTCGACAATCATGGCAGACTTTGAACCGATGGCGTTTCGTGCGTCGATCAAAACGGCCAAAGCACTTGGCGCATGTTTGTGAAGTGTAATACTCGTCGACCATATTAACCACACAACCAGGGGCCTGTTTTTCGAAAACGTTGAACTTTTCAATAGTGAAAAGTTCAATCCAATATGTTCGAAAAACTGCAATGTAATTGCAATGGTATTCTGTTCAAATATTGGGATGAATTATTCACTTTGAACAATTCATATCGAACTTTTCAAAAAATGTGCGAACTTTTCATGAAATTTTGAATCAACAATTTCCTTACGTCAACTTTTATGAACAGTTCATGATTTGGAATTTAATAATTTTTATGAATTGTTTTCAACTGTTATTTTCCAACATAATAAAAAATAACAAAATGAAATTGAAAGTCATCATGACATAAAAAACATGTTGATGACGTACATCGCACACACTTTACATTTTTTTTTACAAATAACAACTCTTCGTCAAAAACTTATATTGGAAAAATGTCAAAAGAATTCATCATCGACATTTTTCCGCTCAACTGTTCTGTATTACATTTTCGCTCCAAACCAATCATATGTTAATTACATACAATGAATATTATAAATACTTTGTTCCTATCAAACCACCTAATCTACCTAATGAATGTAATATTAATCCAGTTCCAGTTTGTGATACTTATTTTATTGATTTTAACACAAGTACAAATACTATAAAGCATAGAGTGGCTGAATATTTTAAGAGAAAGAGAATTTGGAGAGAGTAAATTTAATTAGAATGAAATTATCACGTTGTAAATAATGTAAATATAAATATTATTTATTGATATTAAATAAACCAACTCTGGCGAAGAAACGCTCTTTGGTGGAGAATAATAATAATTTCAACAAATATCAATAAGTAAAAAAGTCAGCATTATCAGAAATAAGTCTTGCTATTAAATTCAGTGTTATGAATTCTTCACATTTTCCTTTAAAGTTGCTATTTCCTAAACCACCTACTTTCTAACAATCGGTCACCGATTCAACTTTGACGTTGAACAAACGATGTAAGTGTTTCACTTAAAAATTTAAGAAAAATGAAGAAAAAAACACAAGAAAAAAGATCACATCTTGAATTATTTAATATTTAATAATGGAAAAAAGTAAAACTGATTTTCATAGACAAAACCCAATCCTTTTTTGTATTCGATGTTTTCAATGAATCTCTATCAACCTAACAAAATCAATTAACTATAAGAAACAATAGTTTTTAATTTCAATGGCATAATTTTCGGGCCGGTCTTTTCTTCAATATCAACATATCAATTGAGTTCAAATAGACCTTAAAAACTGATTCAATTTATTAAACTAACAAAAACGAGTAGGCTTGAAAACCGTTGAAAATATTTTAGAAAATTTGTATCAATTTTGTCCCTTAAGTAAGGTCCCTCATCCTTCGATTCCAACTTTTAAACGACAAAAAAATTTTGTTTTCGTTTTTTTAACCATGGAAGTGGTTTCATTGTATTCAAATATACCCCAGACACTCATTCAATTTAATAAACGATAAAAAATGAGAAGATTTGAAAATCTCACTGAAACAAATTTCAATCGATTTTGTCCCCTACATGAGGGATTTTCGACATCAACTTTTGATCAGCGAAATTTTTCGTTCTTGGTATTTTAATCGTGTGAATGGATTCATTGAGTTCAGTTGGATCATAGAAACTCATTCAGTTTATAAAAGTATAAACTATAAATATATTTCAAGGTTTCGTGAAAAAAACATTTCAGTCATTTTTGTACGAGATCGAAATAAAATTTCCGATTACAAATTTATTTAATTCGAAAATTTTATCGATTTGAATGATTCAATCACACTCAATGGCATTCTATGAATTCATTCCAACCACAAAACAGTGTCTGTGTTATCGATTTTGAATTTTTGTGAAAATTTTCTTTCTATCTTCTGTGTTTCAGAACAAAAAAAAAACCAAATTGTATGTTTTCAAAAATTCAAAATCGATCACACAGGCACTTTTTTATGGCTAGAATGAGTTCATAGAATTCCATTGAGCGTGGTTGAATCATTTGAATCGAAAAATTTGTAATCGGAAATTCTATTTATTTTAATCTCGTAGAAAAATGACTTGATTTTTTTTCACTAAAAATTGAAATGGAACTATTTTCTGTACTTTTATGAACTGAATGAGTTTCTATGGTCCAAGTGAACATAATGAATCCATTCATACGACTAAAATACCAAGAACAAAAAATTTCAACAAAAATCGATTGAAATTTTTTTTGGCGAGATTTTCAAATCTTCACGTTTTTGATTCTTTATTGAATCGAATGAGTGTCTGAGGTACATCTGAATACAATGAAACCACTTCCATGGTTAAAATATCGAAAACAAAGAAAATTGCCGTTCAAAAATTGGAATCGAAGGTCTTTCATATGAAAAAATGAATAAAATTTATTCATTGAAATGTTCAAATTTGATTGATTGATTACTAGCATCTAGTAAAAAGTAAAATGGAAAACCGTCTTATTTTAAAAAATAAACAGTTTGAAAACTTTCCTTCCAATAGTGAATTATTAATCAATCTGAACATATTCAATGAAAAGTTCATGTGAACAGTTTTCGAAAAACAGGCCCCAGGACACTTTTTGTAGCTTCGTATCATTTTCCGATTGCCCGGGCAACGCAGTGTCTTTTTGATGCCGATGGGTGAACTGGGCGACATTTGAGCAGCTCCGAAATGCATGAGTGATGGCTGATGGTTGGTCAACATTCCGGCTATGCTATCGGTCACACTGTTTGCTCGAACGTACTTGTCAAAATTCAGTCTCGTGTATTTGTCTGTCGTATACACGGCAATGCCACGTTCCGTCATTTTGAATCGATGAAGAATGTAGTCCTTCCAGTGCCTACCCAATGGCGATGGCATCACCGGATAGAGCGCACGATTTTCACGATCCTGCCTCTCTTCCTTGACAAAGTCTTTGGTCCACCGCTTTCCCTGTCGATTTCGAACCTTTTGCTTCGTTCAGTAATGATACTGTTTGCTGCTGATCGTGTAGTTCGTCTAAGAAACGAAACAAAACAGAACAAAGAAAACCGTTTAGATAAAAATGACAATGACAATGGCATAACTTCGGTTTATCAAATGAACAATGCACGCATATTGTTTACCTCTTTGCCAGTTTCGATGTTATGTGCCGTTGTTGCGTTCCACGTATTCACACCCGGATCAGTTCCACCTTCATTGACAAACTCTTTGTAGTTTTGAGCAATGGCCTTTTTGTCAACTGGTTTCAATTTCGTTTTGTCAATATCGAATTGTAGCGATACGGCCTGTCCATTCGAGAGAATTCGGAAACGGAACTTTTTTCTACTGCGACCGAGATGATAGATTTTCCGCATATCGAAGTATTGGCCCCAATAATACTCCTTTTGTTTTCTGAACTCGTCCTCTGTGATGTTAAGTGGTACGATTTCCAGTTGACGCAACAAATAGTACAATGTCTTATTGTCCAACGTGAAGTGGGTACGAGTGAAACTGCAAATGGGAATCACTGCCAGATTTTTCACTCTCGGCGGCCCTTTCTCAATGTACTCATTTCCATTTTGGCCTCGATCAACTGGCTGCTGGCAAGTCCACGGACGGTGATTTCGACGTCGGCATCGATTCAGCTCTTGAAACTCTTCGCGTTGGCATCGGCGTTCTTCACGATATTCCTCGCAAGTGTTGAAATCATCAATTTCCCGCTGGAGGGAAATCCAGAATGCGATGCTTTTGAACCAGTTCTTCCCATTTGTGAATAGGCCGATGTTGTTGTCTGGTATGTCCCACCAACTGTTCTTCGTGACCATTTCAATCAACAAGTTACGCCGCTCACGTTTGGCAACATCATCCATGCCATTGATTTCAATTTCGTCATTGCCAAAAATTGCCAAACTAATCACACGGTCGATGTCGGCCTGTTCGTATCGAGCAACCAACGAAGATTCAAACACTTTTACCCGCAGCCATTCGCGCAGGCGTTTCTTGCTATGCGCCTTCAAGTTGTTTTTTACGTTCGTTACGTACGGATTTATTATATCATTCATTCCGTTGCCGAATTAGTCTGCGTTGAGCCAAACCACTCGATGGCTATCTCCAGCTGATGAACCATTTTACGAAATTCCGGCGGCATTTTCTTCTTCTTGTAAATATTTTTCTTCAGGACACCGTAGAAACATGACCGAATCACCTTTTCGCCATTATTTTCAAAAAATGCTTTGTCATTGTCGTCGAATGCGCGCTCACAACGGAACAGGAACAACTGCGAGGCGAGTGCACAAATTTTCGTTGCCATCATTGATCTGTCGGTGATGGCTGCAATCAAGAAGTCACGGTATTCCGGCTGAAGAATGGAACGCAACTGCGTTTTGATGGTTCTTATGCCCGAATCTTTTTCATTTTCCTCCTTTTCATTGTCCTCCTTAATCACGTCCTCAAGCACCGCAATTGGCTTCGGCTTCTTTCTTGTTTTTTTGCGCTGGTAGCCCATCTCTAAGAGAAAAGAACAGAAAAAAATCAGATATGATGTATTTTCTACCTAAAAACATTGACTAAATTACTTTATTTGAACAAAAAAGAAAAAAAACAATCACTGTGAATCGAACAGTATGCACAACAAATGACTTGCCTTTTCAAATGCTCAGATCAATATGAATGTGCAACCGGCATCAGTTTGACACATCAATTTGTGTCGACATAAATACCGCACACTGCGGAATCTGCACACTGTGTGTATGTGACAATTGTCTCTCTTCAACGAGTTAACTCTCTTCAACGCGCTAATTTTCGTGACGAAATTCGGATTTGACTGGTGTCGATGCAGAAACTCATGCGGAATATAATCTCATAACGGAACCAAAATAAACAAATACAACACTAAGCCACAGTAGCGAATGAGTCTGTTGTGTTGTGTTGTGTGAAATGGAAGAGATGTGTCGGTTCTGCTGTTTCTTTCCAATTCACGCGCCCAAAACGAAATCAATACACAAATCGAATTCTTGTAAGATGTTTATTCAGTTCGTTTGGCACAGAGTTGTTTGCAAAGGTTGTCATTTCAAATGTTTGAATTTGAAAGATGCTGGGTAGCGTTCCGAATATTCATACAGTTGGTTTACACTGAAATTTCAGTCGATTTTGACGAGAAAAAAAGACTAAAAACGTTACATCTTTTAACGTTAAAAATGACTAAATTGCGTTACATAAATGTTTCTTGAGTATTTTTATTTTTCATACATGAATCAGTTTAACTTTTGGAAATGATTTTATTGTTCTATTTTTGAAAGGGATGGAATGGATTCGGAATAGATGAATCCATTTTGAGGGTGTTAGCTGAGAAAGGATTTAAAGAGCCAACGGAAATACAAGCGCAAACATTTCCAGCCGCAATAATGGGACGTCGTGATATTTTGGGAGCCGCTGAAACAGGTTTGATGATTCATGATGATTTCGATATGCGCACATTAGACATAATATGTTTCCATTCACTGATTCTTACAGGTAGCGGAAAGACACTAGCATTTGGCATCCCAATAGTGAATGCTATTTTGGAAATGAAAAAGCATCCAGGAAAACTGTCTCATTTTCGCAAGATCGACAAAAAAAATGAAATGGCCGAAGCTGAAGTTGACAAAGACAAATTAGATGTCAATTTAATAAAAAATAATAAAGCCAGCAAACGCAAGCGCGATGATCGAGACAATTTCACGCCACCACCAGAAGAAATCAATAACTTCCCTGATTCATTCATCCAAAAGGGGTTATATGAAATGAATCGTCCGAGGGTTGAGAGTGAAAACTCAAAAGCTAAATCAAAACCGTTATATGCCCTCATTTTGACTCCAACCAGAGAGTTAGCCGTCCAGGTAAAAGATCATTTGGTCGCAATCACTAAATACAATGATATTCGTGTGGCTGCTATTTTTGGTGGCCTAGCTGTAGTGAAACAGGAGCGAGTTCTATCAAAATGCCCAGAAATTGTTGTTGCAACACCCGGAAGATTATGGGAGTTGTTGAATGAAGGAAACGAACATTTAAACAAGTTGCCGGAAATCAACTTCTTGGTTGTTGATGAAACGGACCGAATGATTGAAAAGGGTCATTTCGAAGAGTTGAAGTTGATTTTAGATCGTTTAAATGCCAATCGGCTACTGAAGGCCCAACGACAAAATTTCATATTTTCGGCCACATTGACCTTAATACATGAACTGCCAAATTATCTGAAACTGAAAAATATGAATAAAAAACATAAACAGTTCGAACCTGAAAATGTTCAACAAAAGCTTGACGCGCTCATCCAATATTTTGATATTTCACAACCAAAAATTATTGACATAACTCAAACTGAGAGTAGCGTGGGAAAAGGTAGCGGAATAGCAACAAAATTGACGGAGTGTCGCATTTCGTGCTCACATGATCAAAAAGATTTATATCTTTATTATTTCCTACAAAAACATCCGGGGCGAACCATAGTATTTTGCAATTCGATTGATTGCGTTCGACGACTGGCAAAATTGTTTAAAATCTTAGAATGTTCACCGGTTGCTCTTCATGCAAAAATGGCGCAGCGAGCTCGTCTAAAAAGTTTGGAAAGTTTTACAACAAATCCAACGGGATTATTGATAGCAACTGATGTTGCAGCAAGAGGCTTGGATATTCCAAACGTAGAGCACGTAATTCATTATCAAGTACCACGCACTAGTGAAAACTATATTCATCGTTCTGGCCGAACGGCACGTGGAAATAAAGAAGGTATCACAGTTCTATTTATGGAACCAAAAGAAGTAAACGAATACGTCAAACTGTGTAGAACATTAAAACGAAGTAAGTTTCGATCTAAATTTAATTGAATTTCATCAATTAATCGATTGGTATTTATTTGTAGATGAAGATCTTCCAACTTTTCCAGTATCTGAACGATATTTGGCTGCTGTGCGAGAACGTGTTTCTTTAGCTAGAAAGATAGATGTTGAGGAGCTCCGTGCGAGACGTCAAAACGCTGATATCGGCTGGTTGAAGAAAAGTGCAAAAGAAATGGACATACTGATTGATGATAAAAATGATTTTAGTGATTCTGACCATCATAATAGCTCTGAAGATGAAGCTGGCGGCGGTGCCAGACAAATCAAAGCTCGTCGTGATTTAAGACACATGAAAGGTGCTTTGAAAAATTTATTGGCAAAACCTGTATTTCCTAAAGGATTTAGTTACAAATATCCCAGTGCTGAACTGATCGATAACGAATTCAACGAAAGGTCAAATCAAAATGCGGTGAAGGTTATGAAAAATGCTATAGAAACAGCAAATAAAAAACAAAAACTTACGTATTAGGTTTTGCATTTAAATTGGATATTTTTTTTATATGAACAATCAACATTGTTTAATAAAATACAACCAATCAAGAGCAATCTCGAATCATTCGCCTTTTGTTTTTCAAAGAGTAACGTTGTACTAGCAACTAGCAGTAGCAGCCGCAGCAAAAGCAATGAAAATGAAACGGAAAGCGACTACCAAATAGACTCCGAAATGGAGTTAGAAATCATTATTATTTATTAAAACGCACATCAAGTACTACATTCATTCTGGTTGCATAGACAATCTAGCTTTGTTCTACAGTATATGAAACAAATTATTCGGCATTCCTGTCTCATTGTAGGATGCCACTTCGGAAAATGTTATATTTCTATACAAATTGATTTCTTTAAAATATTACAGCATTTAATTAGTGGAGTTTGGATCACGTAGCGAATAGGTCTCTGGCACAAACACTGGAGGGAATTGAATATTTTGAAATGACATGTAATTCAGAGCTGCACTATCCCCACCATCTATTTCATTCAATGATTGTGAATCCACAGTATGAGAAATTGGTATGGCAGCTGCTGCATTTGCACTAGATCCTCCGTTGTTCTGGTCAACATCAACAAATAACCGTGTATCTATAGAGATTTAAAATAGCTATTAATACTACCTATCCGGGAAAATTATTTCAATTAAATTATGGAAGACGTGACTGTAGTTTCAATCATTTTTTACCATGGCAATGATAATAATACCTGCAAGTGAAATTTTACTGTACTCAAATCCCTGATTAAATAATTTTTATAATATTATAATATTTGGAAAACAACAGTAAACTGTGAAAAACGGAAACTATGTTGAAACTGCGGACAGAATTGTGTCCAAAACGCACAATATTATAAGTAAAATCGTTACATTTAGTAGTATAGGGGAGAGGTTTGTAAGTTGAACAAAGCTGGCAATTTTTTCCATAACTGTTTTTAGAATGAAGATAACCTGCATGTATGAATACTATTGAAAAAAGAATCAAAAGAACTTGTATAAGAAACTTATTCAATTTTCGTAAAAGACAATTTAAAGCCAATTTTCCTGAAGGCTTGAAATCGAGAAAAAAAAGTTTAGCTTGCAAGTTGAGCCACCATGAAAATGTGAAAAATCCATAATATCATCATCGAGTTCGTGATTTCACTAAAATGAAGTAAAACGCTTTAAAACTGATTCTTTATCCGTTTCAAGCACCAAGTAATTATAATTATGAAAAGGGCACTTAAATGTGAACTCAAGAAAAAAAACAATGGTATTTTTCCTACATTTTCAGAAGTGGCCAAACTTACATGTGTGAATTTTAGTATATTTCCCTCTCAAAATACGAAATATAATCCAAATTATACAAAATATCAATCTCCACTATAATTGTTACCAAATCCGGCTTGCCAAAGTAGACTATAAAATGAACAGTAATAATATCTTGGGTGGTTCAACTTACAAGCCGGCTCAACTTACAAACCCTTCCCTTAAGGGATATAATTATATAGACAAAAATGTTTTTAAAAAAATACTTGTAAAAATCTTTGTTATTAATTAATTAAAATGTTTTAATTAAAATATTTACTCTGTTGTTCACATGTTGGACTCTCAATATTCTTCCGCCCAAATATTGATGAAGCAGCTCGATGCAAACGTGGTGATCCGAGTAATCGTTTCTCTTTAACGGTTTTATTGGGAAATGTCAGTTTCGATAAATATGAATGTGTTGATGCTGCTGATCCCTTTCGATCCTCATTTGCAGGTAAACAATTGATTGAATCGGTTGTTTTGGTACGATTCACATCACCAGCACATTCTAGGTGTTTTTGTTTAACAATTCTCAGGCTCCCTTTACCAATTATTTTATCCTCATCACTCCGCGTCAAACCCATCCAATTTATACTTTTCTTCTTCGTTGGTAGAATAAATCGATCACTTGGTTTGGCAAGTACCGCAGGTTTAATAGATTTCTTCACTATAGTTGTTGTGTTGTTAATACCATTGCTTCTAACATTTACACTATCATCGCCTCCCGAAATGAATTCATATCCAAAATCGCGAAGTTTTTGACCTTCTTTTGAACGAGCCATTATTATCTCAGTATCATCCGCTTTAAAACTTTGTGCATAGTCCGGAGTTCTGGGTAAACTTCTCCTCTGAATTTTGTTTAAACTTGGTTTTTGACCAACTTGTGGTATATTTTCGGCATAGTCCGTTGCGCGATTATTTTCATTTGGTGCTACTTCGTTGGCTCGCCGATTTTTGCGTTTTGTGTAACGATCATTCGGTTTCTCAACACCTAAATTAACTCTGTTATTGTACATGTTGTGCGCCTCATCCTCTTCACGTTGTAGCATTAAATCCTTTAGAGTAATCAGTCCTTGTAAATTTTGATGTTGATCGAATGCGTTTGAAAGCTTTGGCATACCAACATCTAAATTTTTTGATGTTTGAAATGCAAACTCAACTAAATTTGGATTCGATGCATGCATATAGTTGAAGGGAGATGTTTTACTCTTTGATAGTTTCAATGTGGGTTTGTTTTCTGCATGCTTTGGGTCATGACTTATTGTTTGCAATGGCAAACTTGGATTAAATCCATTTGATATCATTTGCGATTTTGATTTTGTTGAATTTGGAGTTATGCCCAATGAAACGGTGGGTTCGTCTTGCACTATACTGGTATTGGTACTGGAACATGGAGCTGGTGTATGAGATTTTAACCCTGAGCCTTCATTGCCCGATTCATTCGATTTCGGTGCAAACTGTTCACTTATCAAATCATTGGCAACCGAAGACGTATTTGAGCGCACATGACTTTGCTGACGTCGTTGTGCCATTAGGTTATAATCAATCGTATTTGACTGACCCAGCTGCATTCCAGCATTTCCAGGGATTTTACGATAGCTTTTATATTGCGCTGTTGGAACAGGTATGTCGCTTTGACTTTTCTTTCGTTCTTCTCGTTCTTTGTCACTTTTATTTGATGAGAATGGTAAATTATGCAAGTTTGTGAACTTTTTCAGCGAACCAAATCCCAAATGATATTTATCACTCTTTGAATTTGTTGATATGGGTGAAAACTCATCATTTTGATTACGTTTTTTGGTTGATTTACTTCCGGAGCCAAGAATAGCTTTTCTGAATAATATCGGTTGCAGTGTATCTCCATTGGCCAACTCACTTTCATCCTCTGAACTATCCGTCTCCGAGAATAAATCTTTATTTTCAATGCGGTCAACGAGCATGGGATCAATATTAGATGTGCCGCCCTTCAAAGTAGCACGCTTGATATAATCCATCCATTGTGAAAGGGCCTCTTGTGATTCGGCTGCAAAATAAAATGTTTTTTTCGGGTGATATACCTTATATGCAAACGGTTTTGAGTGGACTTCTTTGGCTAAAGATATTGTAAATCCGGGCAGGAATATCAAACAGTTTGCTTTTTGGGATTTTTTTGTTCGAAACCCATACAGAGCTGTTTCAACGAGAACGAAATAAAGCTTTGCCCAATAGGTAACACCGTGCTTATCTTTTGTACGCCGGAATAAATGTCCTTGAATGTCGCTAAACTCAAGAGCTTTGAGACCAATTTTTCGTCTCTTGGCTAACATTGAATTTTTTTTCTTCAATGTCAATGTTTTGGTTTTATTTGGAGTTAGTAGCTCTGTTTCCTCATTGATACTATCGGAGTTGTTGTGCTTAGATAAAATGATGGGTCGCGATGGTGATTGTAATTTGTCAATTTGAGTTTCATCATTCTTCTTGGAAGCATCGATCGGAGGTACACCTTTACCAATTTCGGAGACTTTTGGCACATTTATTACCGTACATTTTGAAACATAAGTTTCGCACGGAATGTTCAATAGAACTGGACATATTTCTTCAGTGTTATTTTCTCTTTCTTGTTTAAGTGTATCGAATTTCCTTTGAACCATCTCAGCTGCTTTAGATGGCCTGGGCGGTGGCTTTGGAGCGACAACTTTCTTTAAAAATTCTTTTCGAGGACCAATTTCCGGAGGTTTATCTAAAATAGATTAGTTGAAAAAAACACATAAGACAAATAAATAATTATGAACATTGAATATACATACCTTCATCTTTATGCTTCAGTTTTATTGGTAAATCGGGAACTTCAATCTGCGTCATAGTGCTTTTATCCTGCTTACAGTGTTTCTCTTCTATGACGTTTATGACCTTTGCATCTTCGTTGAATTCATTCAAATGCGATATTACGTCTTGTGGTGTTTCAAACTTGACGACCTTTGCTTTTGTCTCGTGTTTACTTTTTACTTCATCAGATAAACTATTTTGAACTTCAATTCTTTGCGGGATCATATTGTCATTGACATCGCTATTATTCCGTTTATCGCCGTGTTTCATATCAGGCAACGATCCTTTCATAGTATTTCCCAAATCACCGAACTTGTCATTATTATGACCAATACCAATGCAAGTTATTGGACGTTTGTCTGACGATATTTCTAGGCCAAATCCAAACGACACTGATTTATCACGTAGACTAAGGCTATTACCCTCCATATTGCGGCGAACATTCATTTCGTGCCAAAATGTAATGTTACCCCTAAAACCGGAAAAATGATCACCGCATATAGTATTGCGTCTTTGAAGCACTGCCCGTGGCTTCGATAAGTATAAACGAATGTCTTTTTCATTACTTTTTGTTGCTTCAGCAGATATTAAAATACTACTAGAACTACTTGAATCTGAGTCAGTAAGATTGCTTTTTTCGGCAAGTGGCAAAAGTACTGGAAAATTTTGTGATGGAATGAACTCAATTCGTGGGCTTGGTAGATTCTCTCCGAAACGATAAGGCACCGACCGCTTTTTGCTTGGTAGGCGATACGGTTTCATATAGATTTGACCATAGATTTTTGTATGCCGCGGACGTTTTTTCAATGTTAACAAAACATCTGGCGGCGATTCCTGTAACTGCTGTAACACACGTTTATAGTTCCAACCAACGACAGTTTGATAGTTTATTTGAATTATTTCATCACCATCTTCGATTTTTCCGGATATGTGAGCTGGTGAGTTGTATTTGATATCCGTTATTCTGAAACAAATATATCATAAAACGACTGAATAAAAAGCGGAAATTGAACGTACATAATATATGCGCATATCCACTTACACATGAATACCGTGATAATTTGGAGCGATGTTAAATCCCAGTTCGGATTCTCTTTTCTTTAGTGAGACTAAATTTAAGGTAGCAGGCTGTAAAATGATTGGATCTGATATGTCTTGGATTATGTAGTCTGCTAATTTAGATAACTTTTCAGCCGTTAAACGAATCTGATCGACTGGATTTTCAACGAAACGATCACGCTGTGCACTATACGCCATTTCAATTCCCAGTTGCAGAATCCTTTTCCGGATTTCATTAAACTGTATTTGACCTGTGAATACATATTGTATGATTATTGTAATTGATCAATACTTCGATGGCAAACAATGTTTTAAGTGAAACCCACCTTGAAATGGCGATCGATCTAACCAACCGACCAGTGGTTTAATAGTACCTATTGCACGTGTTATATCATTTAAAATTTGTGTCTCAATTTTACTTTTATCAGGATAGTGCGCCAATTGATGATGTAAATTTTTTGCAGTAGTGGCAACGCGTAATGCTAAAAATTGTAAATTTTCTTTCTCTAAATCATAATTAAAGTTCCGTATCTGTTCAACAGCTTCTAAAACAATTTCTTGATGACCAATTGACGTTACACCCAGTTCATTGAGCTCGTATGGTCTAATATTGAGTAGTGTTTGTCCTTTTATGTCATTGTTTGCAAATGAATTGATATATTTATACATTGAATTGTCCAGACCTGATGACAAAAAAATAAAAACACTAACATATAATAATAGGTAGTGTTTAGTAGATATTCGCTAACTAAGTGAATATTGATAATAGTGTTCACCGGAAAGAGCGCAACAGTTTAACACATACATAAAACATTGATTACACAATTATACTTCTAGAAATCTTGCAAATAAGAAACAAAACAAAATTAATTATCAGCTATACCTTTGAGCCAGTCCGTCACTTGATCGGGGGTCCATTCAGCAACATTAATGTAAGCCATTGTGAATGTTTGACCATAAACAATAATTAAAAACGAAATTAGATCACAACATCGAAACCGATTGAAACAAACAATTATTTTTTTAATCGCTTATCCTCCCAATTATATGGACTCTACATTGATCTTATGTGATTTGACGAGTAAAGATCACGAACTTAAAACAAAAAAAATAAAACCAAAACAGAAAATAAATTGAGAACCGAGCACAGAAGAATCGAATTTTACATGATTCTTTTGCAAAGAGAACAACATAGTTGTTTGCGTTTCTATTCCGCAACTCTCATACAATGTTTCAATTTCAGAAACTAAGTATGTGTCAAGAGTCTACACACACACACACACATATATATACACACACAACAAAAGTGAATAGCAAAAAGACTTGAATGATCATGATGTCGGTCGTCCTCTTTTTGCCAATTTTCTTCGATTCATATCTCATACATTTTAATCTTGTGACTGAGCGATAATCTGTGATATATGAATGTGTAAGTGAACCTGCATGTGTTTGAATGTTTTGTTTAAATCTTGTTCGGTTGAAGTTTGTACACACACTTGTAAATGATTGAACATTCACAAATTTGATCGCGTAAAAAATTCTCAATGGATAAAATAGATACAAAATATATTTATATCGATTTTGAAATATTTCCGACCTATGCCCGTCCCACTTGGTCATTCTCTCTCTCTCTCTCTCTCTCTCGCTCTCTCTGTTTCTCTCTCTATATATCTATTTCTTTCTCTCTCTCTCTCTCTCTCTCTCTCTCTCTCTCTCTCTCTCTCTCT